CCACCCCCCACCCCCCCACCCCCCCACCCACCCCCCCCCCCCCGCCCCCCCCCCACCCACCCACCCACCCACTCACCCACCCACCCACCCCCACCCACCCACCCACAAGCAGTCAATAGCACGAGAGAGAGAGAGGCTGAGCGCACCGGGTGCGCACCGAGGCCGGGACGGCCTACGTCCGCTTGTACTGGGCCCGGGCGCCCGGAGCCGACGCGCGACGCGGCTTTTGAAGCGCAGCAGAGGGTAAGAGTTGAGACTTGTAAGACAGAGGTACTTGTAGGGCTCTCCTCTGGGGCTTCAAGGGATCTTGAGGCTTTGGAGGGGCCAAGCTTTTAGGGTTCTGGAGTTTGTAGGGCAGTTCTGGGCTCCAAGCTCAGGCCGCCACGGACTTCGAAGACGAGCTGGTGCCCAGCAACAACCTGCTCCACCCGCTGAATGCCGGGGCCCCTTCTTTGGCGGAAAGACAAGCAACGTAGGGAGGGTGTGGTGGTCTTAGGGGTTAGAGCGTTTTCGGGTTTAGGGCTTGTGGGGGTTTAGGAGGGTTTAGGGTTTGGGCTTCAAGAGCCGCCGCCTGAGACTGAGACTCAAGGTAAAACAGGATCCTTCTTGGAAGGACGGACCTCTAGGAATCGCTGGAAAGGTCTTGGCTCTCGACACAACAACGGTGGTGGTGTCCGGGGCCCCAGAAACGGAGTTTCTGCTGGTCCAGTGACTTTTGTGAGAGGGTGCTGTGTAGAGCAAAGCAGGCCGCAAGAAGCCGCCGAGACGTCCGTGGCCTCTGGGGCCCCTCGGAGGCAAATGAGGGAAGATCTCTGATCAGATTGTACTCCTCTCCAGTCCAAGGCTTCTCTGTCCACGGTCATCGCTGGCCAGGTTCTGCCGAAGTCTGCTTCCAAAGCGCCTGCAAAAACCACGGCAGTCTTTCGCACTCTTTCGGTGCGGAGGACAACACCTTCATCGTTCACACCCGGGACGCCGAAGACAACCCGAGGTCCACGGACACGCCCGGGCCCTCAGCGAGCGCACTCAGCGGGCCCGAGCGGTCCCGGGCCTTTCCGAGGACCTCGGCGATCACGGGCTACATGGGCTCCACCCTCGCAGTGCCGCTGTCCTTCAGCTATCTCGGAGGACTGCCCATGCCCAGCCCAGCAGCCACTGCAAAGCGGACCGTTAGTGCATTGGGAAGGTGGCAACTACACGGCCACCATCAACCCGGTGTCCGCCGGTGACTTTCCGATGCACGTGCTTGTCAACGGTGGGCCCCCCCGATTGGTGCACTTCAGTGCCGTGAGGGTGCGAATGAAGTCTGCTATGCTGTGACCCGCAAATTTTGCCGCTTTGGCCCCAGGGCCGCTGAGCCCATGGTTTCGGATGAAAATGGGGCCTCCCCCGTGTTCATATTTCGCTTACGTTTCCTGCAAGCCAGCCACGAGAGCCCCAGCCGTCGGCGCGCGCCATGGCGGCTCGGGCCTACTTCCTGGCGGTCTTTGCTCCCGAGGGCTGGCCAACCTCCGTGGCGCCCGAGTATGGCCGCTACCAGCTCTGGGACACCATCCAGCAGGTGCCCCTTCAAAAGGAGGAAAGCTTTGGAGACATGGAATGAGCGCGCAGGTGACCTTCTTCGTGAACACCGTGGCTTGTCTGCAGGCTTCGGTGTAGGCTGCCTCTGCACGTAAACATTGTGATTCCCCACGGCTTCCTCGCGAGCGAGTTTAGGTGATCAGCAAGCAGGCGCCTCCGCCTTTGCCGCCTCTGCTGCTGTGTTCTGTGGTTGGTGACCCTGAAGTGTGTGAGGCAGTGATGAAGTTCCACGGCGTTGGGGACCCCGACAAGACCCCGGCAGAGGCAACCGCACTGCAGATGGGAAGGGATCTCCTGGCGACGGTGATCGGCATGGGAGCAGGCACCTCAGCACTTGTGTTTGATCGGCATGCCGTGCTCTGCCTCGCTCGAGGTGGCGACGCCGGCCTTCACGGACCGCTACCGCCGCTCGCACGAAAGGGAAACCTCGGCAGATCAGAAGCCACGGCGGCGGCTCCGAGGCTCGGCTCCACGGAGCTTTCGGATGTCCGCGGAGGTGGTGAATGCCGTGGGGCACTTCGTGGAGCCCGGTTGCACCTCTCTTCTCTCTCGTGTGATGCTGTGCTGCGAGCGCTGCCGGTGCGCAGAGCGCCTCTGCCAGGAGATCTTGGCCGCCATCTTCTCCGGGATCGTCGCTTTCCTCTACCTGGGACCTGTGCCCTGGCCAGACAGAAGCGCGGCTGGCGGCTTTGGCTACTGTATCGCTTCGCGGCCCCAGCAGGCCCTGTGCCTGGTGGCGGGGACGATGTCGGGGGCTGTGCGGTCGGTGATCTTGCAGCACTTCGCCAAGGGAGGCCGCCTGCCTCCAGGCTCCCGCAAGAACACAACAGCTGTGCGTCCGAGTGCAGTTGAAGTAGTTCTCCAGCAGGACGGGACCCGGACTTCGGCGACATATCGCTGAAAGAGAGCAACCAGGTTCAGAAAGACGAAGAGCCAATAAAGAAGACTCTGAGCCTCGGAACTCCCCAAGGACCGGGGCGGCAAGATTTTTGGCCTCTTCATTGGCATGGGCCTTCTGCTCGGGGCCATTGGCATCGGCAGCGGTGCAGAGGCGCGGGCTTCCTTTCTCTCCAGTGCTTCTCTTTGGAAACAGAGAGTCTCAGAGGCCTTCAAAGGCCTCGGAAATCCTGAAGTTGGCATGGACGGGGGCGGGGGGTTTCTAGGGAACGGCCTCTGAGGTTCTGTTTCGATGCATTTCTTTAGATGATATGTTGCTTGCGCAAAGGAAGAGGGACGCGGGCAGGGGGTCCGAGAGTCTTTGAGCCAGGAAGCCTGGCTTTTTTGGACGAAGCCAAGCCGACTCTGGCAGGCCGAGCAAGAATCACTGGAAGCCAGCTTGCGGTGGTTCGCCGTCCTCTCCGTCGTCCACCTGCTCCTTGAAACAGTTCTTTAAGACTGTTTTTGTTGTTGTTACTTGAAACACAAGCTCCGATTGTGAGCCCTCTCCGAGGCTTGGCAACGTCCAGGCCGTGCGGCAGCTTGACATCGCGACCCCGGGAGAGGCGCCGCAGCCCGCGACTTTGGGGGAGGCGGGCGAAAAACAGCGGAAGGGTTCCAAAAAAGACGGAGCTTGCAAAGCAGAGGCGAAGCCGGGCGGCTTCTTGCGCCAGATGTTCCTCCCCAAGGGCTTTCCCAGCACCGCCGCCTGGCCGCAATTTGTCAGAGTTCTGTCATGGACTGAGAGCGGCGAGTGGCTCTGAGGTGGTGGCGTCCTACGGCCGGTTTCGGGCCTGGGCGCTGCTGCAGGCGACTCCCACCACCGTTTGGGCTCCTCCCCTCGCTCCTCTGCTCCAAAGTGCGACCCTTGGAGGTTCTCATCGGCTACCCCAAGCAGGTTGTCATAAACATGCTCTTTTGGGGCCAAGTCTACGGCGTGGGCAATGCCCAAAGCTCGCCCGTCACAGCCGTGCTGATCGACATCTTCATGACTACGATTGACTGCGTCATGGGTCTTCTCTTGGGCCTCCCCGCTGTGAGCCTTGCTAGCGTCTTGCGTCAAGTGCAGGCAGTGATATACTCGTAGGGCTCATGCCGCTCCAAGGACACAAAGCTTGGACTACAGCAAGAAGCGCTGGTTCATCTACTCCGGGGTGTTGAGCTCAGAGACCTCAGAGACCCACTATGACCCTGTGGACCCCCACGGCTACCTCCTTGGAAATACTTTTCGAGTTCTGCTGATCATCTCGGTAGGTCACAGCTCAGGTGTTGGGTCGCTGCTCGGAGTTCGTTCAGCTGGCAGCGGCCCTGGCGCCTTCCAGATGGTTCTTCCCCATCATCGTGCCGCGGCACTCCTCGTCTTTAGTGGGTGGCCAGAGCAGCGCGGGGCTTGGGCCGGCACGGGGTGCAGAGACCAGCCCAGGTGCTGGCCCGCAGCCTTGCGGCCTTCAGCGGAACGAGCGGCAGCCGAGTGGGAGGCGCCATCCCACCGGCTTTCATGAGGAAGGAGAAGGCCGATCGCAAGGAGATCGAACTGATCCACGCCAGGCCCTTATAGTCTAGGTCTATAAGTCACGACGTCGTCTCTAAGTCTTTGCTTACCAGCAGCTGGTCGCCAGCATTTTCCATGCCTCCGAGGTGAACGTGGCCAACGGAAACCAGGAGTGCCCTGACCCTGTTTCGACGATGGGCCGCCTAGTTCTGCTGGCAAGGACAAGCTGGTGTCCGTCCCTTCGGGCGTCCTTTCCATTTCCTTCCTCTACTATTTGGCTCTTCGGCTTGCACCAGACAGAATGATTAGAGAGGGTGTGGTGGCAGAGTTCATCAGAGGTCTTCTCGGGCTGGCACCCCAGCTTGAGCTGGCAGATAGCGGCCTACTGCGCTTTGCAGGCTGGATCTTGCTCTGTCTCGGAGCCTCTCGCACTGTCGTTTGTTGCAGGGGTTGAGCTTCTGCAGCCTGTGTGGTTGCTTCCGCAACCTCCCACCACTGCCAGGCCCTTTCCGTGTCCTCCCCCTCATATCCCTCGTCACATCGCTGCCAGGGGAGGCCTTGCAAGAGCCCTTGGTGGGGCGCAAGGTGTCAGACGTCGTCTGGGAGGAGCAGAAGCTCGGAGGCGTCTTACAAAGAGAGGGTACAAAGGCCCAGTGAAAAGCAAACCCCTCCCCCCCAAAAAAAAGGCTTCTTCAGGATCCCTGTGAGCCCGAAGCAAGCCGCGGCTCGGCTCCGAGGAACGACATGGACTCCGAGGTCCTGAATTCCTACAGCGGCCCCGCCTCCAACCCGCCTGCACTGGTCCGGTCCCTCAGCCGGGAGGCCTAAGACGAACGAGCCGTCCGGGGCCATGCCCAAAGACAGGCAAGGCGCCCTTGGTGTACAGGTACAGATTTATATGCCATAGATGCCCCCTGTTTTTGGATGTGTCTAGAGAGGAGAGAGGATGCTTAAGACAGGCATCGTCTCTTTTCGACTCCATCCCGTCAATCCGGGGGGCGGTGTCTCTGGTTCGTTTAAGTGCAGGGGAAAAAGCAAAGTCTCAGGCCGCACCCTGCGCCCCGCGCCCTCTTTTGCTTCTGCTCGGACGATCGTCTCTTCCCTTCCCTGCCGGCTCTTGCGGTGTTCTCTGTGTTCTCTCTCCAGGCATCGACATCGTGGGCTCCCCCTTCACCACACGAGTGGAGCCGGGCCCCACGAGTGCCGTCCGCGCCCCAGCCGCGAGCTTCAAACCAGGGAGAACATGAACCGCTTCTGGTTCACAGGAAGATTTGAAAATGATTCGACGGCATCGCGAGGTGCACAGCCTGATCACTGGGACCGGCCTGCAGTTTGCAGAAGCCGGCGTGGAGGCCAGCGGGTTTCTGGGAGTGCTCCGGGCTCTGTCGCTCCGGCGCAGTGAAGCGCACCTCTGCGCGCGCAGGGTGTCTTCTACGTGACCCTACGCGATGCGCAGCTCAATCACAGGCCTCCGCTTTCCTCCATGCGAGATGTCTGGGATGAGTATGAGTACGGCCTGCGGAGCATCGCCTCGCAGGGGCACCTCCATTGGAGAGCCTGCGGGGGGGCCCACGTCGAGTGTGCAGAGCCGGGTCGTCGTTGTGCCTTGCATGGGGCCCAGGTGACGCTGGACGACAGCCGGATGAACTGCGCAGATCAGGGCCTCGGCGTGTGCCGGGCCCAGCCGAAAAGTCCGAGAGCAGCAGTGGTGCGGAACCAGAGCAAGAGACACGGAGCCTCACTCTCTGCTTTCTGTTCTGCCTCTCTCTTCTGCCTCTGCTTGGAGCATCTTGGAGCTGTCTCTGAGGTACCGCTGCTCCTATTTGATCACGCAGGCCAGGGCCGCGGGTGCCCTCTCTCTGCTACTAAACGCCCAGCGAGAGAGGCCCAGACCTTCAACGTGGTCCTGCGGGTGAACGGCCAGCCGGTGAATCCCGTGGCTCCACACACCTTTCCGTCGGGGGCTCGGAGGGGAAGATCTATGTGGATCTCTTTCCGTCCGTCTGGAAGGGTGTTTTGCCTGGGCGCAAGCTGCTTTGGTGCCCGAGGCTCGTGATCAACCCGAAGCCGATCGACTCCACAGCCGGGGTGCTACCCCTTACAAGAGATTTTGGGGGCACGGGGCACAAAAGGCAGAGGTATCATGGGTGAAGCTCCAGGTCAACTACATCTATGCGTTCACCACCTTCTTCCCCGAGATTCGAAAAAGCACAGACAACAGCGTGATCTTCCAAGTACGAGACGAGTTTGGAAACGATGTGCCAGATGAGGGCCCCTTGGTCCCATTCATTCACGTCCTGTCTTGATGTAGTCGTCCAAAAACTGCGAAAGAATCGCCCAAGGCAACAACTTCATGATCTGCGAAGCCGATGGCCCGCTGCTGCCGCTGCTGCTTCTGCTTTCGCGTGTGCTTGGCTTCGACTCTGCCTTCCCCTGGCGGCAGGTCCCGAGCAGCGGACGCCCCCCTTCCGTCCGCCGCTGGACATTGTGAGGCAGGGCCATGGCTGTGGATGCAGAGGTTGAGGATGGGATGTGCAAGGCCCCTGTGCTCGAAGGCACGGTGCTGGGCTTTTCCGAGTGAACCTGAAGCTGGACACCACGGGCCTTCACAAGGTGTACTGCTACGCTTTGAACAAGGGGGGCATCAATGCCCGGTACTTCAACAACCGCTGGGTGGAGGGTGTCCCGGCCATCTCACAGGTTGACACGGCCATCGATTTCAACTGGGGTGAGGGTCTGGTGACTGCGGAATCCTCCGACTACGCCTCTGCGCAGTTCGACGGATACCTGCAAGTCCTCACGCCCGGGAACTACACCTTCTACATCACGGCTGACGACGGTGCCAAGATGTGGATGGACGACGAGCTGATCCTGAGCCAAGACGAAGCCGGCCAGTTCCAGACCCGGCCGATCTTGCTGACCGGGGACAGGCTCTACCACATCCAGGCGGGTGTGCAGCAGTGTGCGGCCTTCTTTCTTTATCAGAGAGCGCCGTTAGCTCTGGGGGGTGCTCTCCCTGGGGCAGGTGATGTACTACGAGCGCACGGGCTTTGCAAGGATGCGCCTGGAGTGGTCCTCGGACCAGGGCCTGGTGCGGGAGGTGATCGGCAAGGACAGCTGGTTCCACTCCCGGAGCAGGCTGGGGCTCTTTCCCCAGCAAGTCCTGGTCTACGACAAGCCAGGAGAGGGCTTTCTTTGTTGGTTTTTTTTTGTTTTTTCAGTGTTTTTTTTTTTTTTTTGGGGGGGGGGG